ACAATTCAATTTCAAATTTTGCAAAACCGTCCTGGGGACAAATTTTCATCATGCCAAAAGCACGATTCAATCTATAAACAGTATAGTTGGCTATTCTTTCAGTGGCAGGCTTGCAGAACTGTACATACGACAAAAGAAGATTCCATTCATGTCTGTCCTTACAGCATAGGACGCAGCATCCCAAGGGTCGTGATTGGGATTCCTTCAGTTAAAATTCCATTCCGGCCCAAGGTACACAAGGTGGAAAGCACACACTGCACTCAGGTTACTCCATGCGCTGCATTTGTTTTTTCCCTATACTTATCCACTGACTATTTACAATTCCCTGTACCCGTGCGTTGATTGTTCAACTTCCCAAATATCAGGTGGTAACAAAAATGTATTATTCTTTGTGCTGCTTGGCTGCCAAATAGTAGTCATCCACATGCAAATGAGATGCAGCTGCTGGATAAATGTTGGAGTCTGAAAAATGGGTTTTGCTATGGTGATCAATATGGGCAATGCAAACTACCCTAAGAATATAATGTGTGAACAGGAAGTAAGCCCTGGCCACTGGGAAGGTAATTCCCCACCTCACCAACTACAGAGGTATAACAACTGAATCTTTTCAATTATACTTTCATTTACAAAATGGATGAGGTGCTCGATTTCAAGGGTGTAGACTCTGTTATATAGGTAGACTGGTTGACAGGTTGACTTTCTCAATATTAAATGACATCTGGATGTCTATTGATATTCTCAGTTATCCAGGTCATGGTTGTCCCAAAGGTGCTGTTTTAAAAAGGCAACTGGATTTTGTTTTTCCTTAAAGACATTTCGCTTCTCATCCAAGAAATTTCTTCAAGAAACATCTTCAAGGAACAACAATGTCCAGTTGTCTTTTGAAAAGTACCTTTGGGACAATGGCATCTGGAGTTTTTGTATCTCTTGGTTGCTTGCTTGACTGCTTATTGGTTGAATGAACCACCTGCACAGTGAAACAAAGAAGATATGGAGGACCTTAAAGAATTACATTTTGTGTAGTCTGTGTAGTCACTGCGAAAGGTGTGAGCTCTGCAATTTTAAATGGATAACTCCCTGAATTTATTTACAAGTTGGGGAGGGGGAAGGCAGGTTGTAAACATCAGGGATCCATCTTATGGAGCTACATGATTTCTGGCCTAAAGCATGTTATTTCACTTCTCTGATATTCACCAATATGCACTATATTGGTTGCCTCCTTGAAGTAGGATATTAAAGAAAAAGACCACCTCTAGGCACAGGACCTTAGTTCTCAGTTTGCCTCAGACATAGCAGACATAGCAGAGGCAGAAGGATAGGCTGATGTTCTCTGATTCAGCACCAAGCAACCCAAGCACAGTTGAGGACATCAGGTTATCCACTGCTGAAATCTTAAATAATACATACAGCAAATATAATTGGCTTCACTGGAAGTAGGTATTCTTCTATTTGGGGGTTTTGTTACATCTGAAAAAAATTATTTATAAGGTCTTGCACCTTCAAAGGCACTGAATTTCTCATTTACCTGGAAGTGAATTCAGAATTATATAAAAATGAATAGTCTGTCCAACATGTTTACATTAAATGATATTTCAGAAGAAATAGTGCAAGATTCAGTAGATCCCAAGTGCTTGTAAAGAAAAAAAGAAATTAGATTCATTGTTATTATTCCTTCCAGACACACTTAAAAAGAGAGAGTAGGTGAGAGAGAGAGAGAGAGAGAGAGAGAGAGAGAGAGAGAGAGAGAGAGAGAGAGAGAGAGAGAGAGAGAGAGAGAGAGAGAGAGAGAGAATTCATTTTTGGTGCTCAAAACATTGGACATAATGAAGACTGCATGTTAATTTTTCTAAAATATATTTGCGGTAGTTTTTGACTATGAATCCCAAATGTCAGGTTATTACCTTTACAGTAAAATATATATTCTTCTGTAACACCTGTTCTATTAACAGAGACAATGTTGAGTTAATAATGTATTAACATTCTAAACATATACTAGTAATTTTAAAAGCATAGGAGGGTTTTTTTTAAGCAGGAGTATGGACAGTAGAACAATCCAATTTGCAAAGCCCACCTGTTTTTGTGGCAACACACTGAATTCAAAATTGCTTTGTCTCTAAATGTTTTCATATCTAATCTTCCCATCACCCAGGACTCAAAATAGTATCAGATTTCTGAAGTAGAAGATTTTATTGCATTCAATGGAGGGAAGGCACAAAATATCACTATAGACATATTATGCCTGAAGGAGTTAATCTCGCTGTCTTTACAGTAATAGCTTGGTACAGAATTTAATAAAGAAAAATAGGAATTATTAGACATTCTAAATGAAGCAAGTAGATCCCAGATATTTCCTTAAATGTTACCCTTAATCTTCTGCCAAGGCCTTTCCTTCAATTACAGTACAGATTAATAGGTTGTTTCAGAAAATTTTGTTTCATGATATGGATCAAGTGTCCCTGAGACAACTGTGCTTTCTGAGCAGCTATGTATAATTCTCTTCAAATTGGGCACTGAGTGAAAGGCCATGGGGAATAATCATAATAGCTATTAAATTAGGAAGTAATGGAACAATTTTTCTCCTGGAGTCACGAGTGTTCCATCACTGAAGGTTTTCAGTTAGGGGTTGGGCAACAATTTCCCTAGGATGGTCTGAGAATTCTTGTCCTGATCTATGGGGTGGAAATAATGACCTTGAGGAACAGGAGGAAGAATGGCTACCAAGGCAACAGTCACATAAAAGAGTCCTGGTGGCGCAGTGGTTAGAATGCAGTATTGCAGGCTAACTCTGCCCATAGCCTGGAGTTAGATCCTAATGGGGCTGAAGGTTGCCTCAGTCTTCCATCCTTCCAAGGTCAGTAAAACGAGGCCTCAGATTGTTAGAGGCATTGTAAACCACTCAGAGAGTGTTGTAAAGCACTATGGGGCAACATATTAGCCTAAGTGCTATTGCTAAAAGGGGATAGGTTAATAATAAAAAAGCAAGTAAATGTCTCAGACAAACCCCCTCCTAATTCAAGTGAAGATAAAGGGAAGGAGGGAGAATCAAGATTTTGTTACTATCACTTTACAATACTATAAATACTGACTTACATGGCACTTTTTAGTTTGATGTATCTTGAAAGTCTGACATCTGGATAGAGTATTGGATTAGGTTAGAACAGGGGTCCCCATTCTGTGGGCAGCGGCCCGTTAGTGGGCCATGGGCTGCTGGCCACCAGGCCATGGGACAGGCTGGCTGGCCACCCCTCCCCACGCACACTAGTGTGACGGTTGTGGGGCGCGAAAACAGGATGCCGCGCTGTGCGGTGCAAAAATGGGCCAACGCTGCACCTCAGGGTGCGAAAATGGAATGCTGCTGCACCTTGGTGCACGAAAATGGGCCAATGCCGCACCTCAGGGAGCAGAAATGGTGCTGTGCACAAGAACGGGGCAGGGCTAGCGAGTATCATGCAAGCACTAGCTTCGCTCCATTTGCATCACGCACATACTTGTGGCCCCGTGTGCAGGCGCATATGCGCGCAAGCATAAAATGCTTCCCCCTCCCTTTCCCTCTGATCTGCCAACCAAGAAAGATTGGTGACCCCTGGATTAGAAGACCTCAAAGATCCCTTCCAGTCCTATGATTCTGTGATTCATTGGGGGGTTTCATCTGGGCTCAAACAGATTAGTCCCAGTTTAGATGCTGCATGTATCCTCAGGGCCAAAGCATTTGGTTGCTTGAGGTAAAGCGTAAAAAACCCCATGCATTTCTATTCTAATATCCAAGAAATCTAATAAGATCTAAAAGTGAAACAGTCTACTCAACCAGAAATGGGAAAGTAATACCTTATCATGAGCCAGTTTGCTGTAGTGGTTAAGGTACCAGGCTAGAAATTGGCAGACCCTGGATTCTAATTCCACGTTAGGTATGAATCTAGCTGGGTGACTTTAGGCCTGTCACTCTCCTTAATCCTAGAAAGAAGGCGGCAATGGTAACCACTCCCCAAAACCTTGCCAAGAAAACTACAGAGATTAATCTAGGCAGTTGCCAGGAATCAGCACTAACTTGAATACACATACATAAACATTCCCCCCCCACACCATTTATTTAACCTAATAACAGATTAGTTTCTGCGATTAAGGCAATCCATGAAGTGCTCAACAATTAGCCTGACCTTATCACAGTACAATTAGAATTCTTAATGTGATTCTGAAATTGGATGCTTATTGTGCTGAACCCAGCGGTGGGATTCAGCCAGTTCGCACCAGTTCAGCAGAACCAGTAGCTAATTTTTTGTTTCCCAGGCCCAGAATGGACTTCCAGAAGCGGCATCCACACAGAGAACTGGTTGTTTACATATTTGGATCCCACCAATGAAAACTATGGTGCAGAGGAGCTGCTGATGTAACTGAAGACTCTAATTCCAATGATTTGGCAGATGATAAGCAGCCAATGAAGAAAATAGCATGGTATGTCAAATATTTGTGCCAAATGAGTCCTAACTTCAGTGGCTGAGTAGGAAAGGGGTTTTTTTTTAAAGTGAATTTAGAAGTTTTGTTGCATACTGACATCTTGTGGACAAAATTATTTTTAAAATGTAATTGTAATTCTCTACAAGTGTTATTATTTTTCTGAACCGCACAATGTATTTGCAGTTCTTCCATAAAGCAGAAAATTGGAGGAGGATTCACAATTTCCTGTGGAAGAAAGAGAAATATGTCATGGAAATATGTGAGAACTCCAAGGAAATTTTCTTTGTAATAATAGTGATAACTGATCCATACAGGATACAGGGAACAAGGCTTAGATTAGGTATCAAGAAGAAAAGTTGAAAGGAGCTGGGGAATTCCAATTCACGATTAACCTCCTCCAAGAAACGTGGATGAAAATAACTTTATTGTCAAAATGAGAATATTGTAGAAACCGTCCACAAGGAGGTCATCGGCAGACTATGGGCCCCATGACTCTCACTCTGGCTTTGCCATACTAACAAATTCCCCAGCTCAGATGTAAATAGCTTTCATGATATAGGTGAATGTTTCTTCAGGGTCAGTCTTGTCATTTCATCTTGTGACTTTTCATCTTTTAGTGCCTTCAGAAGCTTATCTGAAAAATGTAGAATTGAACATTAGCCATGTTACAGATACTATTGCAAAGAGATATGATTCTCTGGTAACAGCAGATAAAAAAATAAAAAAGTCCCAATGACATTGGGAATGGTTTTGGAGCTTATTCTAAAATTAATATTTGGGAAAATGGCTTGCCTGCTGGTGTACTTTGGAATCCACGCAAGACTTGTGACAGAGCAAATTCTAGATCCCTTGTACCTTTATCAGGGGTTGTTGTTGGGGGCTGTGTTGTTGTTCTATAGCTCATTTGCCCAGTGATTGTGTGATGCTTTTATATGATATGATCAAAATTGCACAGTATTTCCCTCCCCCCAAGCTATTCTTATGACTGATGATCTTTTCTGGAGCTTTTTGCAGTTCACAATTTTCCAAGATGAGTGACTATATCCAGCTTTTTTTTTTTTTTGTTACAGATGGAACACAATTGACTTTAGGCATATGGGTTAACAGCTTAAATCTCCCAAAGGATCACCAATTAATACACACAAACACACACAAAAAAACAGCTTTCTAAATTTTCTCCACAATTCTGGCAGAAGTATACACTTATAGCTGCCCACTCAGTATGCAATCTTCAGTTGATACAAATACTTCTCTTTTTCAAATAATCTGACTGCAATTACTTTGATGAAGATTTACTTTGTAAAATGTTATTTTTTACCCATCAATTTAGGAATTGGTATTTTACATCAGCTGGATATCATAGTGATTGACTCAAAATTCTTGGAATAAGCCTCTTATCTATTTGTATTAAGAATCATAAAAATAGCCTGGCCCAGCATTATGCTCACCAGGCCTGCTGGCTTAGCCAGGACAGATGCGAGAAGCATTGTAACACTTCTGGAATATATCAAATGAGAAAAGGCTGATTGAAAAGATCACAAAGAATAGAAGTTGTTTTAGAAATTTTTTCCCACCATAGCAACATACCTTTTATAAATCATTTTAAAAACATTTCTTTCGTCTTTGGTTTCAGAGTACATTGGTCTGGATTCTAAGCAAGCTATTTTTATGAATTGGCCAAGATCCAGCAGAAGATCTTGTTAATGGAAGGGGGGATTTTTTATTCCTGATGTCTGTTTCCTGTATGGCCTTCTAGCTGCCTAAAACAAATATCTAAGATCACAAAAATCTGCAAAGGGAAAGAGACATAATGAAAATTGCCTCTCCACCATTACACATGGGCCAGCTGCTTGGCTTGTGCGAGTGGCAGGCCGGTGAACATGCACACTTGTGCGCAGCTCAACTTGCGCAAGTCAAGCTGCGCAAGTTGAGCTGTGCACATGCACCAACCTGGACGCTGCTCATGCAGCCTGATTCCCCTCTCCCCCCCCCCCGCCGGGCTGCCAAGCCGCAAAGGTTGGGGACCACTGGTTTAAATAATATTAGGCAGGATGGAAAATATAAACATTCAGCCTGGATATTCATTTACAGTTCCATAGGCATAGGAACAAAAAAAAGAGGACAAGTTGTTATTTGTAAAATCCTCAAAGATTCAAATAAACTTGGATATTGGAGACTCTAGAGTGGTTAAATATATTCAGGATAGAATGATTCTAGATTTCAGACCTTGACTCAATTGCTGAAAGGATTGCTAGGTCACAAACCAGGGAACTGCCCAATGTTTTCAAAATCTTTGGACCAGTAGTAGAAATTAGCTATCATGTTAATTCTTCATTATCTTATTACTGAGCTTTAAACCTTCTATTATCTTGGGATAAACTTTGGGGCAAGCTTAGTGTTCTGTGACAATTATGAATGACAGGACAGAACTTGGAAAATAATAGCCAAGAGAATCTGTGTGGCTGGAGGGAGAGCCACCTTCCTCTCCACCTAGTACTCAAAACTAATTTGGGATTACAACCGGGTAGATTTGGGGCTGGCAGATTAACTATATTTTGTAATGGAAATGATTTGAAAACTTCATTAAGTTGTTATGTGAATGTACTGGGATTGGAACTGCCAGTTTTCTTGAATAAAAAAGTTGGACTTCTAATAATTTATGCAGGGCAGAAAATATAGATAGTTGCTTCTCCTCTTCAAATGGTATTGCTTTTGAACAAGAAGGTTTTCGTATCTGTGCAAAAAAAAAAGGCACAGGTATAATCTAGTAATCTTGTTGGGAAGGCTTTCTGGTACGGATAGGACAAATACAGAAATTTTCAAAGCAAAGTATTGGTTTCAACGCTGCAAATACTGTATATTCCAGTGAAGTAAAGGCTAATAGATTGGTCAAAAGGTTTCATGTGAAACACCCCAACAAACCGAAAGATAACACTTAACATATGCTTTGGCTTGCTTTACAGGATCTGTCCTTTTTTGTAAGGGGGGCCGGATGTCAATGCTGCAAATACTGTATATTCTTGCTTTGACAATATGCAGAACTGTCTGGTATTTTTATAGTTAAATCAGGCAACAGTGAAAGGGGAGGAGAATAAGGAAAGCCCGGGAAAAAGAAACCGGAAGTAAATCACATCTTCCAAGTTATTTGGAAGATGTGAACCATGACCCCAAAATAGGGGCGGGAAAAATGCCTGGAATGTATGTGCAACGGAAAAGAATCTCAGATCTAAGCATTTCCACCATGCCGTACTGACATCTCTGTAACCTTAATAAATGCTTTTAGGAAAAATATGCCTGAAAGTCCTTTTAAGTGTTTCGTTATTCAGACACATGACATCTGGGTTTGGGAAAGAGATACTAAATATAAAGTTGTCCTAACTAGACTGTTTGGAAGACAAAGATCCTCTGTTTTTGGTAGATGGCACAGCTTTTTCAACTGCACATTTGCATACTTTGAGGTGGCAAAGGTGTTAACAAGCAAGATTATGAGGAGCCAGCATTCAGTTACTCACACTGCTGTGGGTCAGAGCCATCTCCTGTGAGGGCCAGCAGTTCCAACTCCTTCAGACGGATGCCAAGCTCACAGATTTCCCCATCTGGTTGTTGTTGCTGGTATGCCTCATTGCTCTCTGAAGCAGGGCAGAAGAAGCGCAAAGGCTCATAGGGAATGGGAGCTAGGCCAGCTGGCCAGGGAGGGGGGCAACAACGTTCGCTGGTGAGTGGAAATAACCCAAGCCCAGGTGGAGGGCGCTGAGGCCCAGCTGGTGCTGTTTCCCCTCCTCGCAATGGGACAAAAAGTTTCCGCCAGAGAGCACAATCGGTTAGGTTAGTGCTTTGGGTAGTTCGGTCATAGAGGGAGGGGAAGAATACAGGGGGTGGTGGCTGAGGGGGTGGAGGAGGCTGTTGCTGGTGGCTCATGGAGTTGCTCCTGATGGGTCAGCAACTGCACTGCTACTGCCATGGAAACCCCAGAATCTAGAAAAGTGTCATGGAGTTTTCAAGTTCTAGAGCAGTGTTTCTCCTCCTCAGCAGCCTTAGGATGTGTAGACTTCAGCTCCCAAAAATCATCTACACCACTTTTGCCTTGGGGACAGGCATCTTTCATCTTTCTGCATCTTTCATTTTCATAACAACCTTGATCAATTAAAATTTAAACTAGAAGATGAAATATATTAACTTTTTTTTTAAAAAAATAGTTGATTTGTTATATTCCTTTTCTCTACCTGCATCCATGTCATCTTCTCTGTTGGACCATTCTCGGATTTTGTGCCTCTCTTGAAGCACTACGGAAGGAACAGGAGTCCCTGGATATAAGGATCAGGCATAGACTACCAAACATTTATCTCCCATATCTTCCTCTTTACTTCCTTTTTTAAAAAAACAAAGCAAAAGGAAACTGAAATATACCTTTTAGACAGTGGTTAATTACAAAGGAGGGGATCTTAGCTCACCACCTAATCTTTTTCCAATTCTTTTAAAGGGGATGGATTTCAGAACAGTCTGTATGATAAGCACCTTGTTGCTAAACTTATTGAAGAACCAGGCCTTAGCATTATGTTTTTTTTAAATTATACATATTTTTCTTCCATATTTTTTACTTTTACCATTAAACTAAAACCTGTGATACTTTTTATTGAGAAGATGGTGTTAATATGCAAATCATGTAGAAATAATGTGTCACTCACACAAGAAGGCCATGAAATATATAAGCCATCATTTTAAGCACTCTTTATCCGGCATAGTTACCAATGTTAGTTTTCTTAGCATTCTTGTGAGCAATTGTTTTTTATTGCAGAAAAAAGTACTTTTAGATAATACAGATTTGGGATGATTCAGAGTAACCTGCAGAACTGAGTTTCATCCAGCAGAGGGAATCAAATACTTACAGTATAGCTGCCTGTGTAGGTATTTATATCTGCGCTTGTTCATTGTATTTAATATGCTGCTTAATATCCTACCTATATTCCCTCACTAGTACATATTCTCCATTGTAAGAAAACTATGGGCCATAACCCACCTGAAGAATATTCATTTTGTTTCTCAAACTGATTTTTTGAGGGGAAAAATAATATGTGAAGCAGGGCAGTAACTTTTTCATCAGGTAATTAAGTAACAAAATTTTCACTGGTTAATCATTGTTTTAATCAACTGAGAAACTAAGTATAATTGTTTGTGGAAAATGAAGCAGTTAGGCTATTTTGACACTGATGTGCTACTGGAATTTAAAAATATATATCGCTTGGGGAATTGTATGGTACTGCATTAAATGAAAAATTGTCAATTGCTTAGGTTTTTACATAGTTTTCGGTAGCTCTTGCAGGCACTGTGTAGTTACACTATGGAATTCACTTTGGGGGAATTCATGAAGGATCAAGCTATTAATCACAATGGTTATTGTGGTTATATCCTGCCTCTATTTTCAGAAAAATATTCATTTTTATTTATTTACCTGTAGAGAGAAGTTACTGTCATTATTCTGCTTGTAGACTTCCCATTGTTTGGTAAGAGTCAGTCCGCATTTTTCAGAAAATAATGAGTGATGGGCTTGTAAATAAACATCTTGTTTATTTACAGTCTACGTGACTCCCAGTGACTCTGAGCAGCTTATTATTAAAAACAAAAAAAGCACAAAAATATCCGTAAACGGTCCCCAAAACAACATGTAAACATAGAAAATCCATCCAGCAGCAGCTCAATCTTTACCAACAAAGGAGAATATTTGTAGCTCATGATTGGAAATGAGAGGTCCTTGGTGCTTTCTGAGCCTGGTTGTTTTTTTGCAGACATTTCATTACCCAAACTAGGTGACATCAGTGCTAGTAAGGAAGGGCTTTATATTCTAGTGGCTTGCCCAGTTAATGCTGGTGGAAGTGGTCTTGGAGATTCTTTGGTTGGGTTGTTTACTGTTAGCTTGTTTGGCAGTTCTTTGATTGGGGCATTGTTTACTTCTTGATTGTTGGTCTGTGTCACCAAAGACTCTTCAGCCCAGCTTGATTTCAACTAGAAACTAGAGTTGTGGTGGCACAGTGGTTATAATGCAGTATTGCAGGCTAACTCTGCTCACACTGCCAGGAGTTGCATTCCTTTGATCCTGATCGGCTTAAGATTGACTCAGCCTTCCATCCTTCCGAGGTTGGTAAAATGAGGACCCATGTTGTTGGGGGCAATATGCTGACTCTATAAACTGCTTAGAGAATGCTGTAAAGCACTGTGAAATGGTATATAAGTCTAAGTGTGATTGTTATTGCTATATGCCAGACATGTCAAACTCGCGACATCATGTGACGTCGCGCAATGTATTGGAGCTTTTTTGCCATTGCCGGCAATGGGGTGGGTGTGGCTTTGGTATGATGAAACCGGCCAGCAGGCCGGCAGTTTGACACCCCTGCTATATGCTATTGGACTGCATCAACTATCACACCAATCAGCAATTTGAAAGTTGTTGATAGGCAGGTAATTGGCCTGCCTGGTGCTGCCCATTTTGTTGCCTGGTGTTCCCCTTTTTGATGGATCTTCCATTATCAGTTAGGTTTTGCCAGATGTTACCCAATCTTCAATTTTATCTCCTTGTAGTGTATTGATAAATTGCTTGGCAATGAGTTGTTAATAGACCAGTCAGATGCTTCAATCAAAAATCATGCACTTCATCTTCACCTGGTCCTGACCAATTCTTGATTTTCCTTGTCATTTTTTTCTCACCATTTCTGCTGTTATTACAAGTTCTTTCATTTCAATTTATTTTTTATTCTTTTCCATCTCCCTAATCCATGCTACCTTCTTGTCATATTTCTTTGGGTTATCCCATATCTTTGTCAAGAAATTCTTTCTTCTTAGTCAGGTGTTGACTGGTTCCTTGTAATCTCTCCATTGGTGAATTAATAGAAACATTTCTTATTTGACTGAAATTATATTCCTCTATATTTCAATCCAAAATTATAAGAAAAATTCAATAAAATTCAATAAAAATAAATTCCAGGTATTTTGCAAATTCAAAAAATACAGAATCCAGTGGTGAGAGTCTAATGTCTCTTAACCACCCCTGCTAACGTTACCTACAGAAGAAACAAAGGTTATCCAGAAGAATATATATCAAAAGGGGGAAAAAAAGAAAAAAAGTAATTAGAGTCCAGCAAGGGGTTGAAATAAATCAGAATTCAACCACTGATCAACTTTTAAAGCAAAAAGCAAAATTTATTTATTTATTTATTTATTTATTTATTTATTTATTTATTTATTTATTTATTTATTTATTGTTTATATTTATATCCCGCCCTTCTCCTTGCGGACTCAGGGCGGCTAACAAACAGATAAAAATGCAAATCCCAACTACAGATTAAAACATAATTAAAAACAAATATTAATAATTGGTCTGATTAATTTAAAATTACTTTAAAACCCCCATTAAAAATTTTCCCCTAGGCCAGTCCTGCAAGCTGGAATAGCCATGTCTTAAGGGCGCGGCAGAAGGAAGGGAGATCAGGGATCACCCTGATCTCTGGGGGTAGTTCATTCCAGAGGGTGGGAGCTCCCACAGAGAAGGCCCTCCCCCTTGGGGTCACCAGCCGGCACTGTCTGGCCGACGGCACCCTGAGGAGACCCACTCTGTGGGAGCGTACAGGCCGATGGGAGGTAATCTGCGGCAGGAGGCGGTCTCGAAGATAT